GGGACAACAGTGATGGGAAGAAGGGACAGCGGCGATAGAGGGACGACGGCGATCGACGGTGATGGGAGGAGAGATATCGGCGCCGACGCCGTGAGAAGCAGTTGCGTAAAGAGAGAGAGAGAGGATGAGAGAGAGAGAGAGAGAGAGAAAGAGAAAGAGAGGTTGAGAGAAATGAATGTGAGTGATAAGAGAGAGAGAGAGAGAGGGGCCTCAAACATATATATATATATATATATATGGGAAATATTTGAGGGATATCCGGGGAATTATTCGAGGATAATTCGGGGCCGGGCCGGGGTCGGGGCCGGGGCCAAGGGAACCTATCTCTTTTCCCGACCTGAAAACTGTCGGGGATTTAATTTTCAATACCATTCCTGGCCCTACAGGGATAGTTTTCAGAAAAAATCCGTTCGAATCGGGGTCGGAAGATCGAGTCCCTGTCGGGCCAGATTCAAATTGCGATCTCTAGTGCCCAACGTTTACCCCAAGGGCAGTTTGGTAAATTAACATGTGGACACCTCACCAAAAAGTCAAAAAAATCAAAAAACTTATCCTAAACGAAACTTTTTAGCCCCAGGTTAAAATAGTTAAAAAAGTGAAATAGTCAACCCACTTCCCAAACGAACCCAATGGAGCAAAAAGCTCTGTTTCTCAAGTCCCAATGCAATAGGTAAATTAATAAACAATCGAATAATGTTAGAGGTCTCAAAAATTTTATTAAATTTTTGGATCCAGCTTGTCTCAAGTTGAGATCAAGACTGGACCTGTCCAGCTCGGCCCATGGGGCCCATTTTTTGGGCCCGTTTTGATAATCCGAACCGTCAATGTGTAGAACTCATCGAGTATTACATGCCTATAAAAAATCACGTTGATCGGATATCAATAGTTATGTGATTAAATCAGTTTTGTATAAAAAAAATGGACGGTGAAAAAATTAACGGTTGATAAAAAACTGTTTTGTTCACATAGCTATCTATATCCGATCAACTTAATTTTTTACAAGCATATAGTACTTGACGAGTTCTACACATTGAACGGTTCGAATTATCAAAATGGGACCTATGGTGGGCCCCTATGGCCCAACAGCATGGTCCAGTCCGATCTTGGACTGGACCAAGCCACTGTCTAAATTTTTTACTAAATATCTCATATACATGTGAGACTCATATGGTACGAGTGTGGGTGTGAGATGCACACCTTGTGAGTCTTATGTGGGTCTTACACTCAGTGGCGGAGCCAGAAATTTAATGTAGATGGAGCATATATTAATCACAAAATTAAATTTTTTTCCCCCTATAACAAGTAACAACGAGATATTATTAAATTTATATATTTTTATTTTTATTTTTAATACAATTATCTTAAGATTTACGTTAACATGACTTATAAATCTATCATCAATAACTAAATTCTATTAGTCAAATAATTAATAAGTTCAATCCTATCAACTCAAAAAAAGTGCCCCACAATGAGAAGAAATAAACAACTAAACAAATCCCATAATTATTAATTGATTTCTATTCTTGTCTTGACCTATCAATTAAAAGTGTACAAAAATAATTAAAATTTTAAAATTTTAAAAATACAAGAAATTTTACATAATTCAAGGAGAGACACTATTAAATTTTGTAAAGGATATGGTAATAGTATAAATATTGAAAGTTTAGGAGTGGCACGTGACCGCCCAAGCCTTAGGTGGCTCCACTCCTGCCTACATCCATATGAGATATTTGCTAAAAAATTTAGTAAAATTTTTGAGATCTCTATCCTTATTCTTTAATTTTTATTATTTGTTGTTGGTTGTCAAATTGAAAACAAATTATGTATTGGTAATTTCAATTTCCAGATTGTGAAGCGGCTTGTAATGTGAGGTGTGGATTGTCATCGAGGCCTAACATCTGCAAGAGAGCCCGTGAAAGTTGCTGTGCCGTGCGACTGCGTGCCGCCGGGAACTTCGGGGAACTACGAGGCATGCCCGTGCTACTTCCGCCGCACCTCACTACCCGTGACAAATTCGCAAATGTCCTTAGAATTAATTCAATGTTGTCTGTTCAAATTATATATTTTTGCAACCAAAAGTTAGCAAGAGAGATTAAATTAATGTTAGGAATTAATAATGTGTTGTGGTGTGAGATTTGAATAATAGATGCCCCAGTTATTTGTTTATTTGATCTAACGTGAATGAGACTTGTCTTCTCATACTTCTGTTGGTCGTCAGATTTGGACTTCATCTCAGCCTTCAGTTTTCCACGTTTTTCCTCCTTTTATTATTTTATTTTTTATTTTTAAACAACTATACCCGACTTCTTACATATTCACAATTTTTTTTTCATAATTTGTCATTTAATTAATATGTAATCCAGATTTAATGTATAATGAGGTACACACTTTTTTTTTTTTTTTGATAATTGGATAGCTTGTAAGGTGCGCATTTAAAATTAATTTTGAACAAATTTTTTTTATATTATTTATAATATCTAATAAGAGAATTTATAATTTACAGATATCAAAGTGATTAATATCACAATAAAAAATTGTGATTTTTAGTAAATTTTATTAATTTTTGTGATGAAAGTTATAATGATAATTGCGGTGAAAGTTATGAAGTTATGGTATGCACCACTAAAATGATACTTTTTGTGATAAACAAAAAAGTTATATATATATATATATATATATTTTGATGAGTAAAAAATTATCCATTTTAGGATAGAAGTTATACTTTTTGTATAATACCATATTTCTTGGGGTGTACATAATAGTCTTTCCTTAAGAAAAAAAACCCGTATCATAGGAATAAATAAGCAATTAAAGAAACACTTTGCATCAGGAATTATAATTAGAATGATGTTAGGGATCTTAAATAATTTATGAATTTTTTTACCAAATCTCTCACGTAGATGTGAGACTCACACACATATGGGTTTGTGTAAGTCTCACACCTATATGAGAGATTTGATAGAAAATTGATAAATTATTTGAATTCTATACCATTTTCCTTATAATTAATCATTGCATTTGACAAAAAATGAACTCTAACGTCTCAATTGAAAATATACAAAAGTTACTCACTCAGCTTGTCCAATTAATTTGTAATATCATGAATTTAGCACTATAAAAACTATGAAAAACATTGTCAACCCCAAAATTTTGAAGAAATTGTATTTTTTTTGCCCGTTGAACTTAGGATGTAATTTCTTGAGCTAAGTCCCTAAAGTTATGAGTCTAGTTTTATATGAATAAAACACACTCTTTAATTGATTTAAATAGCGTGTCATCTATTTTAAATGAGACTGTTACACATACACTTTTAAATGAAATTTATTATACTATTTGAATCAACAAAAAAGTAAATTTTGTTGACATATTTATCAAGTGTATGGAAAAAAATAGTTTTGTAAAGTTGTCATACAATAAACAAAGAATATAATTATATAATGGACTTGATGGGCATCAAATAATGCTAAACAGCAAAATCCCCCAGCTAATAAAGCAATGGAATTTTGCTTGAGAAAAAAGTTTGGTATCTTCATATGAGTTCTCATAGTTCTTTAAATGAGCCATTTATAATACTTTATAAGTTTAAATTAAATAATTTTCAAATATCAAATTACAAAATTTTTAAAGGTAGATTGCAGATAGAGAGATGGTGATAGTTGTGATAACAACGGTGATATACGGATGGTAGTGGTGATTATGATAGCGATTATGATGATGATAGGGTTTGTGGTAATAGTAGTATTAGTGGTGGTAGTAGTGGTGGTGGTGGAGGCTAATGGCACTAGTAGGGGCAATAGCTATAATAGGGGTGGGATTGAGGGCGAGTGTAAGGGTGGCGGCTGTTGTAGCTGTGATGGTAACATTGTCATGATGTTGGTAAGGGGTAAGGGTGGTAGTAATTGCAGCGATGACGATAGATAGAGGTAGTTCAACAATTATGTCACTTAGACTGACGCCGAAGGTTAAAAAAATTCTTATTATTGAAGGACCCAACTTTTCAGATGTTTAGTTAGATAAGATCTCATTTCGATATTTAAACTAAAGCTTCTAAAAATTTTGGATTGCTAATAAATGTCAATGTTTTTGCATAAATAGTTAAAAATTCAGGAGTTGTTTGGGAAGTGTTAAATTAATATACCTTTTAGCTTTTAATGAAAAAATATAAAATATAAGTTGGGATTGAAGTGATGTGATAGAGATATTGTGACTTAAATAAGAGGTAATGTGACCCAAATAAAATAATTTTGATTTAAATAAAATAATGTGCTAAAATGGCACAACACATGCCAAACAACCTCTCAATTAATATTTATAAATTTTCATTTACTTAAAATTTTATTAACTTTTAACTTATATTTTAAGAATTATTTAAAATTTTAAATAATATTAATTATAATTATTAAATGATTTAATTTAATTTTTAATTAATACATTAAATTTTAATTTCTCTCTCATGTCAGCATCTAACTGGCAAGAGTCCCAATATTGTATCGTGGTTTTAATCCATTATTTGAACACAGCTCAGTTTTCGATGTGTGTGTGTGTTCCTCTGGGAAAGACTGACCCACCTTCAAACTTCATTTGGATTGAAATGGTTGGCGAGAAAAAACAAGTAAAAATAAAATAAAATATTGGAAGAATAAGATTTTTTATTACTTATTTGAATGATTAATAAAGTGAGTAATGACGAGAAATTAAAAAATTAATAAAAAAGTTAAATTACACCAAATTAATGTTTGGTTTTTCATCAAAAACGATAAAATTTGGTGAAAAATTAAATTTTTTTTTTTTTTTTATATTATAATCCATCCAAATAAAAAGGTGAAAAATTGCAATAATTTTTTATAATAATTTTTTTATTTTTATTTTCTCATTTCTCAAGCCAAACGAGTGTTAGAGACCCCTTCTTAGTTCTTCCTTGAATGCCAACATCCAACTGCGAGACTTGATTTGCGAGTAAGAATCTTCCAGGCTCCCGTCCTTGCAAGTTGCATGAGAGAGAGAGAGAGAGAGAGAGAGCCTACCCCTACTAGCCCTTCCTTCCCTTGCCCCTCTTTCTCTCTCTATAAATGCTTCAAACTTTCTCTCTTATTTAACATCATCCCATCCCGACTCTGTCTTCTCACTCTCCATTCATTTCCTTCAATTTCCCAAGTTTTTCACCATCTTCTTGCTTAAACAATACACAACATGGCATTTTCAAGGGCATTCACTGCTTCAGTACTATTTCTTTCTTTTCTGCTTCTCCATCTCACCTATGCAAACCAGTTGGTACTGTCTCTCTTCTCAACCCCCTTCTGTCTAATTAATATAATACAATTCTAATTAGCCTACTTTGAAAAACAACTCCATATATATTATTATGATTAATGTTGTTTTGGTTTATTAAATTGATGGTTGTGCAGATGGGGATGATGAGTGGAGCAGAGAGCCCTGTTCCTGAAGCTCCAACAACACCACCAATAGATTGTGGAGAGGCTTGTAAGGTGAGGTGTGGATTGTCATCGAGGCCTAATCTCTGCAACCGAGCCTGTGGAAGTTGCTGCGCCGAGTGTGACTGCGTCCCCCCTGGAACTTCGGGGAACTACGACTCCTGCCCTTGCTACTTCCGCCTCACTACCCGTAACAAAATTCGCAAATGTCCTTAGAATTAAATTGATTCTTGTCTCTTCAAATTATGTATGTTACTACAACTACTTAGCTAGCAAAGAGTGCTTAATTAATACTAGTCCTAGGAATCAGTTTGTGTTTTGGTTTGAGATTTGAGTAAGGGAGTCAAGTCCTCTGTTATTTGTTTATGTATTTTTGATGACTTGGGGTGTTTGGAAAATTAAAAATTAGTTTTTTTTTCATTAAAATTTATAAAAATATAAAATAATTAATAAGATCAAATATTATATTATATTAAATTTTTTATTTTTTTATTTTGCCTTTAAAAGTTATAAAAAAAATTAAAAAATAACAAAAAGGCAAAAAAAGTTAATAATTTTAAACTTACTTTTATTGTTTTAAAAAATTAATTCTTCAATTCATTTAGTTAAGTAGAATTTAAAAACATAAAACTCTTTTAATTTTTTTTTTAAAAAAAACAACACTCAAATAAAAAAAAAAACAGTTTCGGAATAATTCCCAACCGATTATTGTATGTATAATCTTAGCTTACCCTCCTTCGATCCAAAACCGTCCCTACCGAATCTCTCTCTCTCTCTCTCTCGTAATTTCCTCCGAAACCAAAATCACCATCTTCAAACCCATCAACGAAGAAGAAGAAGAAGAAGAAGAAGAAGAAGAAGATGTCTGCGAATCAGTCCGTGGAGAACAATTGCGGATTCATGTCGTGCGAGAAGCTTGATCGGATGGCGAACTGGGTGGGCACGAGCGTGGCTTCAGCGTTCTTCGCCTCTCTCGAGCGATGCGCCTGCATCAACCTCAGCACCTCTCACGACGACGCCGAAGACGACGAAGAGGCCAAGGATCGCCCTCTCATGCTCACCAAGCTTGCCTCTTACGACTCCTCCTCCACCTCCTCTCACCTTCCTCATCCCCACACCGGATAAGCTTCCTCTCTCACTCCTCCTCATTCACACACACATTATCAATCATACTATGATCTACATCAATCTAATAACAACTTTTCGATTGTTATATGCTGAATAAGAGGTGGAAATTGGGTTTTTCTGCTTTGGTTTTTTTTTTTTTTTTGTTTGGTTTGGTTTGGTTTGGATTGGAAGATCTGTATGGTTTTTGTAAAAATTTTGGTGTTCGAATCGGGAATTTAGATATTCTGTGTGTCTTCTGATCTCTCTTGCTCTCTGTGTATATATATATATATATATATATTTTTTTTTCTTTTTAAATTTCTTTCCAAAACACAACCTAAGAAAATATTAATAGATTTGTCAAAATCAAAACTATTTTAAATTAAGCAATTGGTTATGTAAGAAAGTGTAGTTTATTGAGAAGAGAAGGCGATGGTATAACTTATCACCCAAGAAGTTATATGTTTGAATTTTACGGAAGTCAAAACATTTCAAATTTTGGAATTATTAAAAGTTTGTTCAGTTATTAATTTTAGAATTTTATGATTAGTTAAGGTACGCGTAATTTAATTTGAACACCCAATTATAAAAAAATAAAAAAAAGAAAAGAAAAAAAAAGAAGAAAGAAAAGGTAACCATCACTACTAAATCAATAAAAAAAGAGTAACAATGACTAATAGGCTCAATTTGGGATGTTGGTTATAAGTGGTGTTTTGGCTTTTTGCCAAAATGCAAAAAGTGACTTTTTTTGGCCATAAATTGATTTGGGATGTTGGTTATAAGCCAAAAGAATAAAAAATATTAAGTAAAATATAAATAAAATATAATTATATTATATATATATATATATATTTTTTTTTTCTTTTTAAATTTCTTTCTAAAACACAAACTAAGAAAATATTAATAGATTTGTCAAAATCAAAACTATTTTAAGCTAAGCAATTAATTATGTAAGAAAGTGTAGTTTATTGAGAAGAGAACGCGATCATATAACTTATCATAGTTTATTGAGAAGAGAAGGCGATCATATAACTTACCATTCAAGAAGTTATATGTTTGAATTTTACGAAAGTTAAACATTTCAAATTTTGGGATTATTGAAAGTTTGTTCAGTTATTAATTTTAGAATTCTATGATTAGTTAAGGTACGCATAGTTTAATTTGAACACCCAATTATAAAAAAATAAAAATAAAAGAAAGAAAGAAAGAAAGAAAGAAAAGGTGACCATCACTACTAAATCAATAAAAAAAGAGTCGTATCATGTGAAAGTAAGAAAGAACTAAAGAAAGGTTCGTAACAATGACTAATAATCAATCATTTTTTTTTATTTTTTATTTTTTAATAAAGATAGACTCTGACCTCTCAATTGAAAATATACGAAAATAAGCAACTGAGATAGCCTAATTGATCGACAATTTCATGGATTTAGTGCAATATAACAGCTATGAAATTCATCAACACCATTTCCCTTTTGATCCCAACCCAGCGAAACATAATTTTGGGACCTGCAAATCAAGTAAAGATGTCTAGAAATGAAGGAAAAATCTGAAAATTTCTATGCCAATTAAGTCCTCCAATCCCCGGACTCATAAATCAAGTGATAGAATTTTTGGTTAAGCTTAGTTCTCATTTGAGGACATGTTATTTTAATAAATTTTTAATTTTTTATGAAAAAATGTATAAAAAATAATAAAAAAAATACTTTACCAATTTATAGTAATTTTTTGATTAAAATATATAATTAACAAATGACACCTTAGCAAAATTAAATTAAGACTTACCTATCCACCGATTGTAAGATTTTTACACCTACACCATTTATACGGCAAGACTATAAATTAAGACTTACCAATCTACCGTTTCAGCAGTACAACTTCCAATATAAAATGTAAGATAAATTGATAGAGAGAGAAGGAGAGAATAAATTGGATGTATTATAATTGATGTGTATTGATTGATGATCTATTGTTATGTATTACAACTCCTATATATAGAAGAGAAGGTGGTAGTAGGTGTAGGTGGTAGGGGGTGAAGTGGAGGTGGTAAGTGGAGTGGGTGGTAGTGGAGGTGGTAGGTGGAGTGGGTGGTAGTGGTGATTTACTATTTACAATTTACATTAACATAAAAAATCTAGGTGTATTTTATATGGCAAGGCTATTTCTTTTGTCACGCTACAACTTTCAACATAAAAAATCTATGTGTATAGATAGGATTAGAGAGCGGTTTCATGTGAGAGCAATAATTGAGACTTTTATGTCTACAAGGCCTCAGTGAGTTGATTTTTTGATTTTTTGACTTTTTTGATTATATGAGTTGGGACTCAAAAGTTTAGTTTGGGAAGGGCTTTTGGCTTTTTGACTTTTTTAATTTTTTTGTGAGAGAAGAGTGTAATGATTATGAGATTGGATGGGATGTTTTGTCTGTTGTGACTTATGAGCCTATTCTGTCTTTTATGACTCATTGAGCCAAAAAAAACCAAATGAGCCCTTGCCAAACCAACCCAAGATCTCACAAATCTTACAAGATTCTTATAGATTTAAATTATTCAGGATATAAATTTTATACATATATGAATGAATTCTGTACATATATAAAAGGTCAAGAACACTTTAAAAAGTGTGTGAGTGATCTCAAAGGCATCCCAAATGTTTTCCTACCAATTTCATTAACTTTCTTTACTTTTTATGTATTTTTGTTAAATGACGTGACAGCTATGATGGATAGTGATTTTTAAATATAATGACCCTCCATACAAACATAAAACTTATCATGAGTCTTTTAGGAAACAAATAAAAAGTCAGTATTTAACGTTTTATTTATTTTGAATCATATTATTTCTCATATTTTTTATTTATAAAAAGATAAAATAGATTTGTGTGTGTGAATTTCTGACCACACTGCTAACTCAGTATTCAACTAGAGATCACTGACTGACAGAATAAATGGCGTCTGAATGACTTGCAATAGAAAGAAGAGCTGAAGAGCACTGACATAATAGATGGCGTCTGAATGACCTGCAACAGAAAGAAGAGATTCCGACGGTGGTTCGTCAACCCGGGGGCACTCCGATGATCAAGTCAATTATCTCTTAAGGATAGATAAAGTGCTTAATTCACTATTCTGAATATAAATTGTATATCTTAGACCCATTGGGGGTGCCTCTCTTTTATAGTCAACTCCTTCCTAATCCCAATAGAAGTCTAGCTTCAATGGACTGCTTCTTGGACTCTCCAATAGATAAAGATAAACTCCCTAAGAATTTTATCCTTATCCAGGTTGAGGTACTTCCTCATTTTAGGATTCTTGTCCCTTAGCCGCTTATCTTGGACTCCGATATCTTCGGAAATAACCTCGGCGTCACGACTAGGACACGTGACACGTCGGTGTCACCTTGACCACGTGTTGGTACTCAGAAAATATATCCCCACAAGATTAAAAAATTTTAAAAATTAACTTTTTATTAATTTTTCAAAACACCACTATATGAATACTCTCATACGCCTTATTTGGTAAATGTTAAAATTAGACCTTTTAAGTTAAAATTTATAAAAAGACAAAATATATTAAAATAGTGAATAAGACAAAATGTCACATAAAATTCGTAATCATTTCACTTTTTCTCTCACAAATATCATATTTAATTACAAAAAAAATCTAACAATCTCTTCAAATAAAATTTTTTAACTTATTAAAATAATTAAAAATTAAAATAATTTATTAAAAGAGTCGACTTCCCACATAACATAAGGTCATAGACAAAAGAAATAAAGATGAAGATAAAAAACGGTTTTGTGTATCCTATTGATTGATGAAAGTGTGGAGAGAAGCAGTAGGTGGAGCAATCCTAGTGACCTGGCAAAGTTGAAAGGCGGAGAATCTGGGAGAGTCAAAAGTGGTTATCTGTGTTTTCTCTTTAATTAATGCATGGGTTTGGGTGCTGGACAACCTGTTCTCGCTTCACACTAGGAGGATATGGATATGGCATGGTATGGGCAGCTTCGGAGTATGAGCTGTATTTCACTTCATTGCCATCTCAGCAACTGCTGGCTAGCACCGTCACTGCCCACGTAAATGATAGGAGTAAGTTATTTTAATAATTTTTTAATTTTTTATAAAAAAATATTAAAAAAAAGAGAATAATATAACAATATATAATTATTTTTTAATTTTTTAAAATTACTTTCCAAACTCACAAAGAACACTTGTTAGGTTGAAATTTGTTAGAAAAATAAGTGATTTTCCCTTGAATCGATAGAAGGAAA